AGTTCCACATATTATAAATCAGTGAAGGTTAGGCTTGTCGGTGTCGGTGGACTGAAGCTTATTATATATAGGCTCGGTAAAGAAAATGAAGTAATCAATCTTATCCCAACATATATCATTCAAAATCATTTGCTTGACAAATTTTGCTTTCTCAATATCATCATCCCGGTATAATTTCCAACTCACACTAGTCACCAAGTCAAGAAGACCGCACTTTATAGATTTGAATTGCCTCAACATAATAACTACATAAGGGAAATGAATTTTGGTGATAGCAAGCATTTTCAATCTCACATGATTCTTAAACATCGTCAATCTCATAGAGTGATTCATTATGATAATTCTAATCACCATAACATCCTCGGTAATATAAGCAATCCAACCACATTCTACAGACACCACTTCACGTTTTTCGGTTTTTTACCGCACATATTTTTTAGTGCAAGATTTAGTGTGTGAACTACACATGAAATCCAAAAATATGAGGATATTTTCTCTCCACGATGCCCCCTGCGAACTTGCAAACCGGTGCATTGTCAATTATAACTTGCACAATATTTCGAGGACCCACCTCTTCAATAGTTTTCAAAAGGATGTCCACTATATACTCTATATTCTTAGTATGACCCTCCACATTGACGACATTCAAGAATATCGGTCCATCTTCGTCACCGCCACTACGTTACTGATAGGTCTTCTTTGAGAGTCGGACTAACCATCACTTGCACTGGAGACACCCATCTCTTTCCATGTCTTTTTTATAGGCTCCAGTAGGTTTCAACGTGTGCTTTATCTTTTTATAAAAGGCTTGTTCTTAAATGATTGAACCTCGGTGGAACATAGCCTCTGATCGCATTGTTTGCGACATACTTATGAAATTAGATGAAGTATAGATTCCTTGCTAATTAAATAATGGGCCTCCCATGTAAAACATGGGTGCAATGAGACCATTGAATGATCTTGAGCTCCACGATAAAAAGCTTGTTCCATAGTTCGTCCACCCTCACATCTTCTTTTCTTTGAAACTTTGGTAGTTGTGGTTGTCGATGTCGATAATGAAAACACACTTTCCCTTGCTTGACTTCAATCTAAGCTCCGCTTGATCATTATTCTCTTCATTTCCATAATATTTTCATTCCTCACACTTCTACATTTTTTAATCTCAATTCCCTTTGTCTTTAAAAGATGAACTTTCACTCTTAAATGAGAATTCTTAAAAACTTCATGGCAATAGTTACATTGTCATTCCCAATTTCCCCACCTCTCAGTGCTTTATCAAGCTTTGTACCATATCTCCAAAGAGGATCATGATCATCCTCTTGTTCACTTTCCAAATCCACAACCAACTCCATTAAATGCCCTGTGATATCAAAAAATTTACAATTAGTCACATATTAAACTTAAACTAATATAGAACAGAGTCAGCCAAATTAGAAAAGAGCTAATATAGAACAGTCACATATTAAACTTCAATTTTGTTACTAGATTATGGGAACAAAAACTCACACTTACTAATTAATAAAAAACAACATAACTGAAAATATTCACAATTACAAAACTTAAATGAAAAAAGGGGAACTTTGGAGAATAAAAACACAACTGAAAAACTCAATTAATTTTTAAATTAGAAAACCCTAAAAACACCCTAAATCATCAATACATAAATAACTCACACGTACCTCTTTGTAATGTTCTTGAATCTCCTCTCTAGCACTGAGCAACGACAAAATTTAGGAGCAATGTTTCCTTTTGAACAAGATGATGTGGACAGAGAGAGAAGGCCATTGGAGGCTTGAAGGAACTCTTGAGAGCATCGGTTTTGAGAGAGATCAGGTGTATATGACGTTTGGATAATGACTTTAAAAGTAGTCACGTGTTAACAGGTTCAAAACGAAACGTTGTTTTGAATTCGATAAGAAAAAAAACCCTTCTTTTTTTCATTTTTTGCCAGTCACGACTTGCAATCGTTGTTGCCATGTCAAAGCCGTATTAGGTACGTACCCGTACCCGAGATGGGTTGGGTACGGGTACGGGATGGGTTGGGTATGGGTACAAGAGCTCAAAAACCGTACTCATGCTTCAAAACTCAAACTAGATATACCATCCATCATCTTTCTTTACCATAATTGCCCATCACTGTTCGTTTTCACGTTCCAATCAGTCCAGCACAAAGGATATCGATTGTGAGATCACACAGCCAATAGTAAGTTGTGATGACCAACCCAACAAGAACAACGAATGAAATCAGCTTACTCACATTTTTCAATACTCTAATGATCATGATCAAACAAGTCAGAAGAAGATACTTGTTGCTTCATAGGCGATCGACAAGAGCCTTCTCCTCAGCTGAAGCGTATGACAACACAAGGACCTTTGTGTAGATGTCCGATGCACAAACACTAAACACTACCAATGTGAATACTACTAAAGCCTTCCTCACTACCTCCTGCGACTTGTCCCCCTCTCCTTCTCTTCTTTCAGATATTGGCGCCTTTGCTTCTCCATACGCTCTTGTTGATTCTCCATATCGGACCCATCTTAACGATGGTTGGCAAGATGATTCGGACGTCGGTAGAAGAAGGTATAAACGGCGCGAAAGTCCATGAATTTCTTTTGAGGACTGATTTAGGGGGAGGAAGAAGAGTCGGAGATGATGGAAATAAAAAAAGGCAAAACGTTTATTTATAGAGCTGTTGATTTCTCATCGTCCGATTAACCGCTTTATTAATCATTTGATATGTGGCCAGTACACAGGGATGCGATAGGAAACCAAAGACATCAACTGTCATGTGATATGGCGTGTAAATTAATGCTCGATGTTAGAGGGATCCTGATGTGGATTTACCATGGGCCCATGTTGACCACCTAGTAAACACATTATATTGCACTATTATCACTCCTTTTTATCATATTTATGTTTCTTTCACCTATACATTCTATAGATACAAGATGGTGTATACTTTGTTAAAGGGGTATAAAACTAAACAAACTTGTTAAACACACTAGTTTTATTTCTATGTTCAACCCACTCAAATCTACCAACCTCATGTTATTTGTAATTTTTTAAATTAGTGTGGTAATATCACTTCAATCATTACTTTTTCACCAAACTCATTCCACTCAAGTGGTCTCATTTCTATTTCTTCAAGCTAATTGATTGTTTTCTCATCCAACTACTATTAAAAGGGATTGTTACATGAGTTTTATTTTTATTTTTTTAAGGACAATATTGGAGTTTGAGAAAGTTTTATTTAAACTCTCCCCCTGTCCGTCCACTTTAAAAGGATTAAAACAACAAGACTTGGTTTGGTAGGATGAGAGGTACGATGAGGTGAGGGACAAAACTGAAAATCCTCTCTGATAGTGGTTGTTAGAGGAAAGGTGAGGTGGAGTAGGTGAGGAGAGAAAAAAATGCAAAATGAACTAAAAGTTTAGGGAGAGAAAAATCCCTCTGATTTGGGGGGACAAGGTGTAGAGAGAATATTTATCATGAAAAGACTTTAATATCCTCACATATTTTGCATAATTTCCCACTTATTTTTCTTATCCAAGCTATATCACATATTCTCACAAAAAAGGTATTATTGTACTTTAACTAACTCATCACCTCACCTCCCCTTTCCATCCTCTCAGCCAAATAAGAAAAAAGTCATGTACCTCCCCTAACCCTCCCTCCAACCAAAATGATACACCAAAGATTTATTCTTCATTGCACCTCATTGCACCTTACCCCTACCTCCCTTCCCCTCATGTCCTCTACCAAACAAGCCTAATAAGTGAATTTGCTTATTTTTAATCCTCCTCTTCCTTTCCCTTACTAATCAATAATTGTAAACACACAATTTATGGATGGTTAACATCCTAGCCCTTCCATATCGCCCCTCCCCTCTTAAAAAATTCTATCCAAAGAAGTAACCGATCTTTTGACATGACATCAAATCAGCCCAGGTTCTAGGTTCAAATCACACCAGTCACGCATTTGAATGTGGATTAGAAAATGTATTGCTGATTGAGTTCAGGTTTTAGCCCATAAAAAGGATGCTCAATCAGTTGGGCAGCAAAGGCATGTTAAGAGTATAAAATAATAATCCTAAACCCTCGCGAAAACCCATAAAAGATGTCTTGTTTTCAAGGTCAATCTTGAAAACTTTTCAACTTTAGGTGTTCTATCAACAAACTTAAGAAATAGGTCAGATATTATGATCCTTAAAGTGTGTGTTCTCTGTAATTTGGATTTTTGTATAGCATTCATACCATGTTTCTAGTACCTTGTTCACTTGCCTACTTGTTGATTATAGAATAGAAAACCCCCCCCCTTTAACTTTGAGAGAGTTGCACTAAATCCCCCTTAAAATTTTAATTTCCACTCTACCCCTAAAATTTAGCAGTTATTATACATAACCCCCCTAAACTCTTTCATCCACTAAATTTCACATGGAAAATTTTCCTTTAATCTCCAAATTAGCATCATTGGTTCTAACATATCATGTGGCAAACATGTGCCAAGATAAACATAAAAATAATCCCTTTGTCCCAAAAAGTTACATTGTTTCCCTTTTCAATAAAAGGGTATATTTTGGGATTAAGAATGATTTTTCATCTTTTTTTTTTGGCATGTGCTTATTCGGTGGCTCGTTAGAATTGATGGTGCTAATATGAGGATAAAATGAGAAATTTTCACGTAAGATTTAGTGGAATAAAAAATTTCAAGGAGGTTATGTGCAATAACTCGTAAAGTTTAGGGGGATTTAGCAGAATAAAAAGAGTTGAGGGGGGTTTAGTGCAACTCCCTAAAGTTTAGAATGATTTCTGTAATTAGGCCTAATTATTTCATACTTATATTTTATGCAAGATTTTCCAGTTCCTCTCGTGGTTCTTGATTTGCACAGATACATGCAAAAGGACATGCCTTAGCTGCTTGGCCTCCCCTTTTTTTATTCATTAAGTAATACGTTTGAACCATCTAACTTGATTTTTCTGTTAATTTTTTGTGTTGTAAGGGTTTCTATGAAGTTGAGAAAAAAGCAGATTGGTCATGGTATAACCACCATTGCAGGTATGCATGCATTTTCTGGATAAGATAAATCAGTTATAATTCTTTTCAATGTTTGCTGAAAGATGTTTTATCAGTCATACGTAAAAATCTTGCCTTGCATTATTTTGGTGACATTTCACTTTACTATTGTTTGAATGTGTATTATTGTGAAATTCATTAGTCCTCTATGGTTTCTTTCAATTTCTAGATCAAGAGTGTCTTGTCTTTTTCAAGAGAGAATGTCATGGTATTGTTGGTAGACATTGCATCCAAGCTACTGTTGGACAATTGGAAGGCCTAATTAAGGCAGATGTGCAGCTGAGCTAGCAGGGCAGTTTGGTTCGGAATTTTTCATAGAATGAACAAGGAATGAGAATGAATAGTGTTAGAATTCCAAAAAGTTATTCCATTCAATTCTTGTTCTTAAGTTTGGTTCACTTTTATTTTATAGAATGAGTATTCTATAAAGTGGAGAAAGATGAGTTTTTATGGAAACCCACATCCTCTCAATTTGAGAGGAATTGAGTTGGAATTCTGACACCAACTGATACACCTCATCCATTCTTATGCTCATTTCCTATTTTTTATGGAATGAACCAAACACAAGAGTATAAATAATAGAGCATTCCATCAACTTCTGATCTACTCCTCTATACAAATGGGAGAATCCAAGATTCAATGTTCACGCTACAGAAAATGCTACAGTAGATATCGATACAGTATTATTGCTGTATCACACGGATACTGTGGCATTTTAAAAGAAAAATTACTATAACAGAGGCGGGAAATGTAGCGTTCTTTGAAAATACTATAGCATTAATACTGTAGCACGGGTATGTAATAATTTAAAAAACGTGGGATACTGTAGCAATTCAGAAAATCCAGCATTTAAAAACATGATTACTCTAGCGTGAAAAAAATTATCGCTGTGCTTTGCACGGACAACACACTAGTTTTCATAAAAAACTAAGAGAAGTGCATGGAAAAGCCATTTTAGTACCCTGTTCCTATTCCTTTTTCTTTTTTTTTACAAAATGAACCAAACAGCTAGTGATTTGAAAGTTGACAAGAGTAATGGAAAGAATGGGTAATGGAAAGTTGACAAAAGTAGAAGTGATTTGAAAGGAAGAAAATAGACTTAAAGATGAAGGTTTAATAAAATTTCTTTGAAGTTAGTTTTGCATCTCGTGCACTCCTCCAAAGTTAGAACAATCTATTTTGATTATATAGATTTACTCTGGTACTTGTGGAGTTGGGTTGAATTTTGGTAACAATCCTTCTTTGCGGTTTCCTTAGCTATTAGGCAGCACATTATCCTATAATCCTTCAATAGAAGTAAGATGGTTGAACATTGGCTTATATTCCTTTCAAATTCCCATTTTGTGGCTATCGTGCATTGTGCACTCTCCACCAACTTGTAACTTATTCGGGTAGCAAGACCGCTCAAATGCAAGCCTTAAGTTTTGATACATTTCTTCTCCTTGTTCTTTCTTCACATTAGGCACCTGTATCTAACCATATTTGGTTTTTCCTTTTAATGAAATTGAGAAGTCCCCCTGGTGCCTGTTGAATCTCATTGTCGGTACTCCCTTTTCTGGAAAAAGAAAAGACTATACTTTTTGCAGGCTTTGGTTACTGAGGTAAGTACGCAGCATCAAGTAAAAATTTTCACTGTACACATGTACAAAAACTGGCACATAATATTTGTAATTGACAAGTCTAGGAAGAATTGAATTACAAATTGTGAGAACTATAAGCCCAGTGCTATAATAACCACTGTAGTGTTCCATTTACATTTCTTCTATCGAAATAGACCTACACATTGTCTTTTATAGAAAAAGTTAATTGATGCTAAGTTGTCTTAATTTTGTTTAGTTCTTATACAGAACCAGAGGGCTGAAATATCCATTCATGGTAAAGCGGTTGGCTTGCATGGTTATATCTAAATCAACTGCTTCAGACGGTCTCGATATACTCCAACCAGCCAGTTTGCTTCCCGAGACAGTTTCACAGGTAAAGGATTTATATTGTTATGGGTATTCTTTGGTTTCTTGTGATATAAACTTTCTCATATTTCCTTTGCGCATTAAAACCTCTAGATGGAGGAAGAGTTTGGGCTGCTGAAAGAAACCTTTATGAAAGCACAGATTGAGGATGAGCAGATGACATGTATCCTTCCTAATGATTTAATGATTCTTGTGCGAATGAATCTTTCAGAGTTTTAGATTTTATGAGTTATCTTTGACCTACATCAGTTCTTACTAAGGAATGGTACATTAATATTCTGGCGAGAATTCGCATAAATGCATTTCGCGTTGAACTCGTTGCCAGATCATACGATGATTTATTGGCATCTGCTGCTGCTTCTGTTGAAGCTGAAGCAGCTGTTGGAAATGCAATATATATGCTTCCATCCTTCTACAATCATGATTGCGGTACACCTTTTTCCTACTATTTTTATGACAAACAGAATATTTGTAATTTATCCTGTAATTCGTACAAACCTGTACATATACATATAAATGGAAGATATGGCTGTAGACATATATATGTATGCATACACACAGATGCATCTAGAGATGTATATATGCAGGCTTTCAAAAGATTCCCGTTCTTACCTATATGATGCTATTCGAATTGCAAAGCCATCCAATATGTCCTCATTTAGAATGTCAAAGACGAAACTTTTGAGCCACTTTATGTCTCAAGTTGTCAGAAAATGAAATATTGTTTACAGTAAGTTAGCTCAGTTTTATTTCCTAGGATGTCTCAAACCCAGCAAATATTGTTGTTGTTTGGTGAAACTACGAGAACGGTGAACCAAGGAAAATGGGCAATATGACTAACGTCCAATAGGTTGGATTGACGGCTGTCAGAACTGTATGAAAAGATTCAACCGTATGATTTGAGTATCTGCTATACACTAACGTATGAGTTATATTTCTGGAACACTATATCGTGCTTAAGCGGCAAATGTAAAACTGAGAAGCCAAAGTGATAGATGTTTAGATCGACTACTGATGCATGCTCTTTTTTGTCTTTCTGATCAATCTCCTACATAGTAATTTCCTTTTCCAAACCAACACACACTGTCAGTACCCTATGCCAGTGATGTGAGTGAAGTGGAGAAGGAACTTTGCTGACAGATTTACAATTACAGATCCAAATACACATATAATATGGATCGACAATGCAGAGGCAAGACTTAAGGCCCTCCGCGACATAGAAGCAGGTACTTTTAAAACCGAGAGAAAGTTAATAGTATTATATACTGACGATTGATTGAAATGGAAGTGCAAAATTGCTTGGTGGGTGATAATTGTTTGATTTGGTGCCAGGAGAAGAACTCCGAATCTGCTACGTTGATGCAAGTATGGATGTTGAAGCTCGACAGAGTATCCTCACTCAAGGTTATGGTTTCCGTTGCCAGTGCCTTCGGTGCTCCTCTGGGGATTGAAGAAAGCAATTTATTCTCATTGATCTCTTTGTCGGCCTTTGGATTTTTGATGAACTAATGTTGCAAATTGGTCCTTCCAACTCTCATCTTTTTCTGTAATCTTTTACAGAAAACTGAAATTGGAATGATACAGAGACTAATTCTTAGTCTTGATGCAGGAAGTTGAAGAGGAAACCAGGAAGTGGATTTTTTTTTTTTCAGAGACTTGAAAAATTACAGAATTTTACAAAGTTTGTTATGGTTGGGTTTGACGTGTGTTGTGAGCTTGTGTGTGTACGTAGGTTGAGGACTGAAAGTAAGGTGAAAATGTTTAAAAAATCATGTCAAATGTTTTCTTTAAAGACATTTATTAAGCTCTCAAAATTGCATGTATTATATGTGCAATAAAAATTTGTGCATCTCTTTCCTTTGCAAGGTATGATAAAGAGAATATAAAGGTACAAATCTGCAGTTATGTATTGAATTTTCTGTTGAACTTAAACCAATCCAGTCCGCACAAAAATAACTATGCACATTCATTCAAGGGCTTTACTAGACCAAATCAATGCCAACAGAAAAGGCTTTGGAGAAGAACAAAATTGATGAAAGTGATCTCAAATTTTAAGCTACATAAAGAACAATAAAAATTGTGTAATGAATTAATTCGATCTTCTTGTTTTTTTGCGGAAATGAATGACAGCCTTGCATTATAGCGGAGTTTGTACATTAATACCTTGCCACTGACTTCAAAAGGCATTTTTCCCCCTCCTTCATGTGTTTCTTTTTAATTTACATGCAAAATATTCTTGAAAAACAGAGAAAAGAGATCAGAAAAATAAAGCTCTGTTCGTTGAGACTGTTTGAATCCAGGAGAAAATTGCTCCAATTTTTTTTTTTTTTGGTGGGAATATCTACTCTAGCATGGAGCAAGAGTTCGTACTGGCCGATGAGGCTTTGGAGCTGCAATAGGATAAAGAGATAAAAAGAAAGCATGTCAGTTTAAACAAATTTGAACTCCAAGATATCAGTGTATTTTACCAACGGCTGCATAAACTCAAATTAAGATGGCATGTTCTCCCTAGATATCTATATATAAATTATAAAGCAAAAGTTATTGTTCTCTCAAATCTTGTTTTTGTTCCTAGTTTCTTAAGGCTGCACTATTGAGACCACATTGGCTCCCTAGATATCAAATTCTAGATTACAAAGCAAAAGTTATTGTTCTCTCAAATCTTGTTTTTGTTCCTAGTTTCTTAAGGCTGCACTATTGAGACGACATTGGCTCCCTAGATATCAAATTCCAATTTCCTGTCGGCAAAAATCTCTTCTAATGTAATACATATTCACCATTAATAACTGAAGCTCTGGAATAAAATTTCATTTGCATATGAATGGATTTTACTTATATCTTGTTGATATTTCCAAAAGGATGTTTAATAATGTGTGAGCAAATAAATTTGAATAAGGACTGTGAGCTTATAAAATGTATAATAGACTTACCATTGGGATTTCCCTGTTCATAAAAACTCCGCAAAAGAGCAATGGCCTCCGATGACATGAATCCTCCTGTACATTTGAAGCCCTTTCCATGTAAGCTCTCTTCACTGCCACAAGAAAATAGAAGTTCAAGCTTTAATTATGTAAAAATCATATTAACACTACAGGTGATATTTGACCTTGTCCATCAACTAAAACAAAATAATTATACGCCAAGCTCCTTAACTCACATGATATTAAGTTTTAATGACTGCTGCAGTTTCCAAATCAAATTCATATTCAACCAAAGGTGCAAATAAGTAAGATAATCTAACCATTTAATTTCTTATAAAGTTACTCTCTCATACAGTCTTAACTACTATGAGCAACTTTGAAAAAAAAAGTAAACATAGCATTTTCATGTAATATAAACTCCTAAGAGGAATATATGAACATACTGATTATGGATTTAGATATAAAACTCTAACAAATTGATCTCACTCCCAATACCTGGACATCTGCTCAGAATCAGTCCGATGTAGTGATAAGATAGATCCACATCCTCCAAATTTATCATTAGCACAACCGTAGTAGACCTCCCTTATTCCTGCTCAAGAAACACATGGTAATCACATGCTAATCTTAAAGAAAGCTCAACTTGAAGCCCAGTTAGTAGGTTTATACCAAGAATTGACAATGCTGAGGCACACATTATACATGGTTCACATGTAACATAGAGATCACATCTTGAGAACTTCTCTGCAACTTGCATTTGATTAAGTCCATCCGTTTGCCACTTATCTAGTAAAAAATCGATAGCTTCCATTTCTGCATGTCTTGTAGCCTGCGCACAAGATTTAGAGGGAAAGCATCATAATAAGGAATAAGGCTATAAGCTAAAAAAGGTATGGATTGATGCAAGTTGTGGTTTCCTCTGAAGCAGAAATGTTAGGATTAATTAGAAATCTCTCCTAAAGCATGTGCCGGGAATCCAATGGAAAATGTTCAGGTATGTCAGCTCCTACGGTTGGATCATATGAAGAAGTATAAAAAGGCTTTACTCAGGGGTGATAAGAGTTTTGCAGTTTTCTAACTTAAATGGACTGATGACTTGACCTATGATCGACTGAACCACCACCAGTTGCTCGTGATCAAGCTTATACTAACAGGAAATATAGCCTATGTAGTTAAACATTTGAACAACAATCAAGAAACAAAGACATATCTAAAAAAAGCTTAGTTATTACCAAGCCAGACATTCTATTCATTTGAACAAAGGATGAGACTCATACATTTCGTGTTTCAGTTGTTTTGTTGCTCCCAGAAGCAATAACCTTGTCATTCTCCACAATCACACACCTAGAAGTTGGGAAAGAATGAGCAATACATAAGCAATAAATTTATGTAAAGTCTTTCTTCATAGAAACCCATAATATACAATGGAAGCTGCAAACCAGATATGCTTATCTTAGCCAAAACAAAATGCCTTCAGAAAGCTTTTCGTTTAAATATCACGATGTCATAAGTCCTACACTCCTACTACAAATCCATCACATGGAAATCAGCATGCCTTCTTTAAAGATATTGGTTTATAAAACTGTTCATGAAATTTCTATAATTTCAGTTCATTATGTACGTCATACTTTGACCTACTACAAATCCATCACATGGAAATCAGCATGCCTTCTTTAAAGATATTGCTTTATAAAACTGTTCATGAAATTTCTATAATTTCAGTTCATTATGTACGTCATACTTTGACCTACCCATGAACTATGCTTCAATTTTGCCAAAAAGCACATAACACATGACAAGAAAAAAAATAAAAAGGAAGAAAAATGCATGTGAGGAATGAAGAGCTCTGCTACAATTTTAAAGTGCCCTTACCTACCATCTCACTTCCCCTCCTTCCTTCTCCATTTCACTCTCCTTGGACTTCTATGTTCTTCATATCCTTATTAACTTTGTTTGATATACATTGTATCCAATAACTCAAACAGCTTAATTCTTTGGAAAAGTGGTTTCTTGACAAACTTGTTTTCATTCAATATCTAGTTTCTTTTCATTCTGGGTTTCTTGCCAGAATGAATATCCATCCACTGACAAGGTGGAGAGCTACCTATAAAATAAACCCAGTACCTCATTTTGCAATGATGGTAAAATCTTATTTTCAGCTTAAAGTAGCTGATATTCTGTTATCCACTCTGGGAAAAGGCCCGTCTCTATTCAATGAATTATTCAACAATAGAGCATATTTTTGGCATCATCTGGATCCTAATCCTCACCTTAGTGGTGCTTCTCAATTTGGCATTATTTTCTCGTGCTTTTGTTTTCACGTACTCTTTAAGACATATCTTAGACCAATCTTTTCCATGTAATATGAATGATTGAGGCTGTGATGGAAGGTTGAAAGTGTTGGACAATTATGAATTCGAGGGTGTACAATATTGTGATCTTGCTGCTTTTAGACTTCATACTTTCAAGGAGATGGTGCAATTGTATCCATGTGTTTGTGTGCACTCATATCCTATCCGATGACTATGTTTGTGATGCTAGATATATAGATTACCTGATAAACCACAACAAAAACAGTACAAAAATATTTTCTAAATGCGGCACGGATTAACTTACCCAATTGGGACTTCTAGATTGTTGAAAGAAAACTTAGCCTGTAATTGGAAGAGAAGGAAATAAACAATAGCCAAAGGAGATATTTATTTTTGAATAACAAAAATAGAAATCTGAGATCAAGGAACCAAAAAATAGACAAGGTCATTTTTCTCATATCACGCAACAAATAGATGAGATGTTGTAAGGATTCAGATATTCTTTAATTATATGGTAATAGGAAAGACTCCAATTCTCTTAATCCTTATCGCCTATCTCAATTTTAATGGATGAGATCACACCACCTAAGATTTTCACTATCACAAATAGATGTTTTGATCATAGTGGTTTTCAAGTTTACAAGTGGTTTTCAAGTTTACTAGTAGTTTTCAAGACCAAAGTGGTTCTCAAGATAACAATAGAAATCCTATGTGGCATGATCTTATCCGCTGGAAGTGATAATGATGGCAAGGATTGAGAGAATTGGATTATCTCCAATTACCACCTAATTGGAGAGGATCTGAATCTGCTATTGTAAACATATCGGGGTTTACAGGGGTTTGACCTGCTCTAAAGCAAGTTCCATAAATTCAACTGCTGATGCTGAATAATCTATTGTGGCCGCTTCCATCTGAAAATAAATTCTAACTGTAATTAAAGAGAAGGATAATATGAATATTTAATTCAATTTTTATTTTTCCTTATTTTCTGAAGAATTAGCTAATGAAATCGCGTGGGATAGGGTACGAGTAGGGGTGGGTTTGCTAATGCAGTACGAGTAGGGATGCATTCGGTTCGGATACGATTCGAATATGATACTTATCATATCCATATCCGCTTTTTAAAATGGATACGGATACAGTTCGGATATTCATCGGTAAGAAAAAGGCATTATCATATCTGCACTAAACGGAAACGGTTATGGTTCGGATATTAGAGAGTCAGATACAGATATGATATTCTCTATTTATTTGTGTGTTTGTGGGTATTGGGAATGGGGGTGGAATTGGCACTTAGGTATCAGTTGAAAATTTTTAGCACTAATATTAGTAGCTTGTAGTTCCTAATTCCGAAGCAAGTTTTAGCTTATAACTTGCTACTTTAATTCAAGGTGCATGTGCTCCAGAACTTCAAAAAATTTTAAGCTAAATCATTTGTCAAATAAACTAGTTTTTTTCAGTTTTCAGTCAATAAAGGGTAGCAAATTAGGGCTTTTTATCAAATAAATTAGGGCTTTGCACTCAACGAAGGGCTAGAAAATTAGGATTTTTTATCATACAGATTAGGGTTTTTTATTCAACCAATTAGAGTTTCGAATTCACCTTAGTGTTAGAAGAAACCGAGGAGGAGAATTTTCGGAGGTCGCTGTTGATGGTCGGTCGAGCTTGAAGGCGGAGGCTTGAAGTCGGTCGAAAGCGGAGGCTTGGACAGGCGGAGGTCGGAGGTCCAAGGCGGAGTCTTGAATGGAGACGGCTGAGGTCGAAGGCGGAAGTCGAAGGCGGAGGCTTTGAGATCGCAGAAGAACAGCGAAGGATTTTGATCACTGCTATCGGGTGAATTTTCATCTAATTTAAATCGGGTCGGGTAGAGGATAAGATGGGTTGTATATATAATGACCCGATTCAACACCAAGTATAAAAATTAGTTGAGTTATAAACATCCGGATATCCGGAATGTATCCGCAATGAAAACCCAAAACAAAAAAACAGAACCGAAACCATATCCGAATGGTTGCAATCTTTTCCTACAATATCCACTTTTTTAACGGATACGGTTACGGTCGGTCCGGATATATCCTGAGTGTTTTGCACCCCTAAAGTTAAGCCATAGCGCCCATTTGATGAATACGATCTTTTAAAATTATGAAGATTATATTGTTGAGAGGTTGGTTTCAGACACAACATCTAATTGGATTTTTCGCTTCTCATATAGCACTACACATATACTAGAAAAAATTCATATTAGACGTCTGTACTCTAAAGGGCTGTTTGTTTGCCTAAAAAAGAGGGAAATCAAAGAATAGGAAACATATTTCTAAGAACAATTGTTTTGAGATTGTTTGGTTGGCTAAAAAGAAGAAAATCAAAGAATGAGAGATGAGTTGTCACATTATTATTGGATGATGTGTGTGATTTTTTAAGAAAATTTGTTTTAAGGTTGTTTGGTTGGCTAAAAAAAGGAAATAAATTATAATAAACCTATTTCCTATAATAGGTTCTTTTTTTGTGTTTGGTTCATTCATAAAAATAAAAAAAATAGATGAGATAAAATGAGTTATCATTATATTATTGGATTATGTGACCCACACTTAAGTAAATCGATTTCTTAGCTTTTTGGAGGAAATAGGTGGAAATGAAATATTAATGAGATGAGATGAGTTGTCACCATATTATTGGATGATATGAGTGATTTTTAAAGATGAGATGTTATGGAGATGAGATGAGTTGGATGATGTGACCCATTTCTTGTGTTTGGTTTATTTTTAGGAGATGATATGAGTTGGATGATGTGACCCATTTCTTGTGTTTGGTTTATTTTTAGGAGATGATATGAGATGAGTTGTGGGATGAAAATAATATTGACCCATTTCTTGTGTTTGGTTTATTTTTAGGAGATGATATGAGATGAGTTGTGGGATGAAAATAATACTTTATTGGATGTTGTGATGAGTTTTAAGGATGGAAATGGATGAAAATAATATTTTATTGATTTCCATGCACACTTTTCCGTTTCTTGATTTTTAGGAAACCAACCAAACATCCCCTAAATTGAAGAAAACTACAACATTATTTGTAGGACTAAGACAAAATCTGAATAATAAATAAAATCCTAATTTTAGATAACATCAAATATAAATCCAAACAAAATAACAACTCCAAATAAAGTACATAACAACTTCATCCTAATCGAATATCTGAACTTTAAAAAAAATCCTTAAACAAGAAAAAAAACCTTAAACGCCCTAAATCCAATCTGTCCTTCATAGTGGTTTTGAGGAGCATAGAGCAAAGGCGAGGTGGTTGAGTAAGATCAAAGCTACACAATTTTAAAGTACCAAAGGGGCTATCTGGTTTATGATTTAATCTTGATTCATGGAAAGAATTTAGCAAAAAACATAATTAAGATCATGTGTGTGATAGATATTGAAGAGGATTTGCATAAGGAATAACATCCAATCAAATTTTGTTTGGTTGTACAAGAATTTTGTTGAGAATATGTGACTAAATTCACATATCCGGTTAAAATCAGCATAATTTTAGGGAATTATATTTGATGCATTATCTTATGTGGCAACCTCAAATCTGTATATAAAAAATAACAAACAGATATGTATTTGCTAAAAATCCATGATTTTTAATTTATGGGTCCCATTATTTAATCCAATGATGCAAAAATGCATGGAAACAAACAGCCCGTAATTGATTTCGTCAGTCTGCAAAATTTTATTTTAGATAATTTCTTGTAAAGTGATCATTAACCAAAGAAACCATTATAATGTTAGGATGATTAATATTGAATCTAGACATATTTAAGTTGAATTAAGCAATTTGAGTCACTACAGCTCCTAGTCAACATTCCAACTAACCTTTTTCACCTAATCATAGAACATGTCCGATCTTGCAGTGCTGCTTTTGCAGCTTTTCTCTTGATGCTTCTGTTAATTTATACACACAAGGATGATACAGGATGATACATGATCTTATAACAATATTCAACGTAGCATCACATTTTTAGGAATTTGGATCATTTCCATTAAAAAAAGTAGTGAATAGACGGCTACTTTTAATCCCAAATATTGATTATTTAGTGGTTGATTTTGATAAGTTTAAATCTAACATTCATCGTACTCCATGTGTTGCACTCATTCCTACTTTGCACACACAAAAAAAAATATTATAATCACCCATTAGATAATTAGATCAATGGTTGTAATTAAATAGTGGTTCCTCCACTACTTTTTTAGTAGTGAAGAGGATCCAAATCTCATTTTTAGACCAATAATACGAAAAATATTATTCCAATTGTTGACCGTTAACATTTAATTCAAATTGGAATTGCAATTTAAAAATGGTAAAGTGTGTTAGATATTTTGTTAAGAAAAGATAATTTTTCCTTCATAAATAGTAATAAATTTTTATAATTAAAACATATTTTAATTAGCAATTAAAAATATGTGTAACGGCTATATAATTATGGGGAACATTACAAAATTTATGACGAACGTTACCGTATTAATTGCGGGTTTTGTAACGTCTCTTTCTAAGACCATATATATATAGTCATATGTTGAGCTCGGTTTTGATAAGGAAAACAACAAGTCTCTTCTCTCCTCTTCATATTATTTCTTCATAGTATTGGTTTTATATTTGGGCAACTTTCTTTATCTGAGCAGAAGCTCTGTACTCTCGTTCAAGTACAGAGGCCGGCCGATTCCGGGGGTTTTTACCGCTAGGGGAGAGGGGATCATCTGCGCCAGGACGATAGGCAGGTCCTCAATCTTCTAGGACAGTGATTACACGACTGCTCCCAATCAGGCCAAATTTAATTATTTATTTTTATTCGGATTTAATTTACATGCTAATTTAAGTTTATTTGATTTTTTCCAATAATCTACAAGATTGAGTAGTTTATAGCTTTTGCTTTTAATTCGAAAAAAAATTTATATTAAAAGTATTGTTCATCGTTTTTACTGCTCATCCGGAAAAAATATATATTTCTTTCTGTTTAAAAAAAAAGAGAAAATTAATAATAGTTAATTTGTTGTAATTTGCTTTACTTGCTCTTGTTTATTTGTTAACTAATAATTTAATTTAGTTGTTATTAAAATTTAAAAAAGGAAAATTTTGTTACTGTTCACCAAGGGTTACTGTTCACTCGAGGGAGTTTTTCTTTTTATTAAGCAATTTTATTATTGTTCATCTAATCTAATTGCTTTCATTATTTGTTGGCGTAACTAGTAATTAATACTATTAGTTAATTGCTGCAAAAAAAAGGTCACTGTTCATAAAATTCAGGCACTGTTTCATACTGTTCAGAAACTGTTTTATTACTTTATTTTAATTGATGTAGTTTTTGGATGATCCATTTGCTAAGCACAACATTTCTTTAATTTGTAACTGATCTTTTATGATCTGCATACTATATTTGTGCCATGTGACATGATATATATACATATACCTCTTAGTGATAAGAAGTGTGTAACTCATGTGTAAACAGATTGTACTATTAGCCAAGTAGATATGTGCTGAATGTTGTCACTATGCATTCAAAGTTTGTGTATGTGTGAACCTCATATCTGTTACGTTATACATGCACTACATCTATAGTCAAAATTGGCACGCTATATATATATATATAGACTGTAACTGATGATGAAATACTCTAACTCGGTTAATAAACTATCTGTTTAAATATTAAATCTTTCTATGCTATAATGCTTATCTAACATCTAAGACTCCTATCATCACATAATATATACATGTATGTTTCCTATGCTTAGGAGTGAAATTCATCAACCAAGCATACATGGTTTTGGAATTTTGCATGCATGAGCATTTAAATTACTCCCCCCCCCCTAAAGTATTGTATTTACATCAGTCACAATAAAAAATTGTGCTTAATATGACTATGTAATTGCTAACATAAATGCTCAAATGTATTATTTATTGTTAATTCCTTTTTGCTTTATCAATCACAAGGAAGGAAACCGTTACCAAATGTTTATTGTGTGAATCCATTGTTAATTAATTTCCTGCCAAGATACATGAACAATATTGCTAATATGATTTTGAAAAGCTTCAATTCATTAATTGATGTATACCAAACTCATTGTGAACCAACTTAAAGAAGTCAATACTGGAGTTGGACTCAAGATTGATACTAATAGCACATCCATATCAAATGGTAAGTTGTATATTCTTAAACCCTTTTATTTGATAATTGTTATATTTCCATATGAAACATGTTATATTCAAGCATGAATAAGAGGACCGGAATTATGAGAATAATTCATATGCATAAATTTAAATTTAGAAAGTCTCTTTTATAGGCAACCAATTTAAATTTGGAAGATCTCTTTTGTAGGTAACCAATTTAAATTTGGAAGGTCTCTTTTGTAGGCAACCAATTTAAATTTTGAAGATCTCTTTTGTAGGTAACCAATTTAAATTTGGAAGGTCTCTTTTATAGGCAACCTAGAAGGTCTCCTTGTAAGCAACAAATTTGCAACTTCTTATAATACGAGAATTTAAAATTTATGCATATGAAATATGAAATATACTTTAAGAAATGAAATCATATTATAAGGTTCTCTTGAATGCTTTGCATGTAACTATTAGTAATTTCATTCATGTATGTACATATGCATGCATATAAAGATATAACTGCAGTATTTTAGTTTCATATTAGTTTGAAATATTTAGATA